TGGTGGGGGGGTGGGGGCAGCCCCTGTGGCGGCGGGGCAGGGGGCCGAGCAGCCCCCACAGTAGCGGGTCCCTACCTGCTGTCTGCTGCGGGCAGGAGCCGGGGCTGTGCCGCTGGCAGAGACTGACGCTTCTTGAGGCTGCGCTCACGGGACAGGGCGCTGCGCTCCTTGGCGTTCTCCCGCTCCTTTTCCTTCTTCTCCTTCTTCTTCTGCTCCGGCCAGAGAGAGACAGAGACAGCGTCAGCACCGGGTGCTCTGGCTCAGCTGGGAGCCACACTGTGCCGCGCGGCTGCCCTGGCACCAAGGGGTCCCCACGGGAGGTAGCACTCACGGGTGAGGACTCGGTTCTGCGGCGCGGTGTCACGTCGGGGCTGCCGGTGGTCCCCTTCCGCCTCTCCCAGCAGCGGTGCTGCAGGCGGTGGTTGTGGCAGGGGCTGAGGGGGCTGGCAGAGGCTGAGCGGGGGCACACAGGCACTGGGGGTAGGAGTGACCACACCGTCAGGACAGAGCCGGCATGGCACCGGCACCAGCTCTTTGCTGGCTTCAGGCTCCCTCGTTGCAGTCCCCTGCCTGCGCCAGGACCAATGTCGCCCTGTGCCCACCCCAGGTACTCACCCTGCTCCTTGCCGTTCCCAGCCAGCGTCACCGCGCTCCGGCTGCGCGCGAGGAAGGACAGGGTGGGCGTCATCAGCCGGTCCACGATGCTGCTCTCCCACGGGCTCAGCTGCAAGCTCCGGTCTGGGGAGGCAGAGGGGCCCTTATCACATCCCTGAGCCCCCAGGCACCAGCCCCGGCCCCAGCCTCACAGCCGCCCGCCAGGAGGGAGCAGCCTTGCGGCAAGGCCGGGGCATGTGTGCGGCCCTGGGAGTGCCCGAAGCTCAGCCGCACTGGGGAGGGCTCCCCGCTGCCCTGCATGGACGGCCGAGACAGGACAAAGGGTTGTGCAGGTGCAGGCATGGGTGGGCAGCCGGGCGCCCACAGGACGGCACTGCGGCACGATGACAACGCTGTCCCCATGCCCCGCAGACACCCCACAGCGGGTGGCACCCACAGCATCAGGGTGCAGTCCTGCTGACAGCAGCCCCTTCCACCCTGGCGCCCTCATGTCCAGCACTGGCGTGCACCCTCCCCATGTCCCCATATCGATGTGACCGAGCCCCCAGCATGCTGCAGCTGCTGCAGGGACGCTGCAGACTGCCCTCACCCCAAGGGAGCTGTGCCAAAGTCGCTGGGCATGCCACGGGAGCCAGGCCAGGCTCATGGTACCTGAGGAACGGCAGTCCCCGGCCACGCTGCTGGCTCAGCTGGGCACTAGGCTGCCACGCCGGCCCCCGCCCCCGCTGCTGCCTCCGCGGGGCCCTGGCCTGCCACTGGCTGCCCTCCAGTGCACGTCGCCAGCACCAAACACCCCACGGGCACCCAGGAAGCACCCACAGAGACAAGGCCCCTCTGCCCCACTCCACCAGGACTGCTGGTCAGCCTAAGAGCAGCACACGCTGCCAGGAGAGGAGAAAACAGAGCCATGGGAGCAGCGGCGGGGACAGGGTGCCAGGTCCGGCACCAGCCCAGGGAGATGCTGCTCCCACCTAGGCAGTGCCAACAGCCTCTGGGTGCCTCTTCCCGGGCTGAGCCCCCAGCACGGGGCCGGTGGGAGCCGCCTGCGTCACCACCGCCTGCAGCCGCCCATGTCAGCTGCTCTGGCTATTTATACCCGGCCGGGAAGGCGTGCACCCATCGCCAGGCAACCCCGAAACACAACAGCAGTCCCAGCACTGGACGCATCCCTCTGGCGCAGCCAGCAGCCTCGGGCAGCTCGCCCAGGGCCAGGACGACCTCACAGCACCCGACAAAGCACCACGCCCACGACACTCCATGGCACCCAGCCCCGAGTGCCTGTGGGGACAGGCGTCACGGCGGCGGGCACCAGCACCATGCCCAGCCCCGAGGAGAGTCTGGTGACAGGCAGCCCTGCTCTGCAGCTGCATCTGCACCCGCTGGAGCTGGCCTGGGGCAGGGAGCCAGGGCTCCCGGTCTCCATCCTGGCACCCCACAGGGCTGCCACCACCCAGCCGCTCCTCCTCCTCCCAGCCTGCATGCAGCCTCAAGGAGCCGCCAGCCGGCTTCAGCCTCCTCCCGCAAACAGCAAACGGCTTCTCCTCTCTCCGCGGGCACCGTGCTGCAAGGCAGGGCCTGGGGATGGGGGACCCTGGCCTCGGGGGTCCCCAGCGCTGGGCGGGGGCTGGGCTGCGCCCCCTGCGCTGGGGCAAACACAAAGGGCTCTTACTTCTACTGGGAGAGTTCCAGAGGGTGGCAGAGGATTTGGAGAGCCGCTTGTTGATTATAGAGTCGACGTGTTTGGGGAGGTTTACAGCGGACACCGAGCAGCGGCTCGCACCTGGAGAAGGGAAAAGACACAAGGGCATTAAGGTCCCGGGGCCGGGGCCAGGCCCCCCACATGCAGCATGCACGGCCGTGCCGGAGCACTGGGGCAGGGGCAGGAGCAGGAGGACGCGACACAGAGAGTGGGGCCAGGAGATGCTGGTGTCCGGGGACACAACACATGGCGCTGGCATCTGGCACGGCACGGTGCCCGAGTCCCGGGGGGTCATGCTGGGATCATGCAGGGATCTCATCCTTGGGGAGCCAGGGCGGCTCCCGGGCCCTGCCATGCCAGTCTCCCCAAAAGCAGTCCTGGGAACTGGGAGCTGGGTGGCCAGGGACCTCAGCAGCACTGGCCAAGCAGCCAGCCTCGGGGAGCAGGTCAAGGGCAGCAGGTCCAGACAGACATGGGACAACGCTCACACCGGTGCCGGTTCCCTACGGCAGTGCCAGGAGGGTGCTGGTGGCTGGCAGTGCCACCACAGGGTGCTGGGACCCCTCCGCCCCGGCCGGGCTCCTCTGGAGAGAATGGCCAGAAGAGATTGCTGCCGGCAGAGGCGACAGCCAGGAGATTGGCGAGCAAGAGTGCCAGCAGCAGCTCCGGCAGCACATCCCATGTGGGAAGTTGCAGGGGAAGGCGTCCCCTTGCCAGACCCTGCTGGGTGCCGCACCGCAGACACACTGGTCTGTCCCTGAATGTGCCACAAGCCACAGCCGGGCACACGGCGCCCGTACACACAACCTGTCTGGGCACAGCTGGCCACACAACACCTGCACACACAGCCTGCCCAGGCACAGTCGGACACGTTGCCTGTACACACACAGTGCCAGGCACAGCCAGGCACACACCACCAGTACCCACAGCCCCAACAGGTACAGCCGGGCACATGGTACTGGTACACACAGCCTGGTCAGGCACAGCCGGGGCTGCCACAGCCGCCCCACGGCACGAGTACTGCGTTCAGCTCTGGGGCCCCCAACATAAAAAGGGCATGGACCTGTTGGAGCGAGTCCAGAGGAGGGCCACCAGGATGATCAGCAGGGCCAGCTGGGCTCAGTGCCCGCTGTGGGGCAGTGGGCATGGCTGAGCCTCTGGCAGCTGCCGCAGGGGCACGGCACAGCACGGCGAGGCACAGCACAGCCATGCGTACCCAGGAGTACACACAGTCGCGGTCACCCCCACGCTGGGGCTGGAGGGGCCAAGCACTGCCCCCACCCAGCCGGGGGACAAGGGGACACAGCGCAGCACAGACCCCAACGAGAGACGGCAACGGCCTTACACGGCTCCACGACCCATGCCCAGCTGCCAGAGACCTGGGCAGCGCAGCCGCGGCATCTCCGCGGGCAGCCAGGGCTGTCCCCAAGCATGTTCCTGCACAGAACGGTGACCACGACGCACAACCTCCAGCTTATGCCTGGCCTGAGGGACATGGTGCCACAAGAGTGGGGAAAAGCCAAGTGCCCCCACTGGGCCCTGGCACAGTCCAGCACAGCCCGGGGTGATGGCAGCACGACCCCACAGCAGAGCGGGGCCAAGCTGGGTTTGGGGGGGTCTTGCCCTCTTTGCACAGAGCACCGCAGAGCTGTGTCCAGCCGCCTCCGACACCAGCAGAGCTGCAGGACCCTGGGTGCCCTCGCCCAGCCCGACACTCACCATCCTTGTGCGCAGGGGAGCCGTGGTGCAGGGCCCCAGCCCAGGACCACCGCTGCTGCCGGATCTCTGCCCACGTCTTCTTGACCGACCGCTGGATCGCTGCCTCGTAGCGTTCCTGCCCAAAGGAGAGGGACAGGGTGAGGCCGGCAGCTGGGACAATGGGGCTGGGATCGGCCGGAGCTGCCCATCATGAGGATACCACAGGGATGCTTGGAGGGAGACGGGGCAGTGATGCCTACCCTGGCCAGGGCACAAGTGCCCAAGGAGCTGGGCACCGCAGAGGCTCTGCACCATGAAGGATGTGCAACGTGGAGGCTGGGCACGGTGGGCAGCTCCCGAAGGGCTGCTGGAGCCACAGGGTCTCCCCAGGGAGCGCATCCCCGGTGTGCTGCCCCAGCCCCCCACCCGCTGTGCCCGTGATCCCCCATCCCCACCTTGTTCTTCTCCAGCTTCTGCCTCTGCCGCTCCTCCAGGACGGCGCGGCGCTTCTCCGCCTTCAGCCGCTGCTCCTCCAGGCGCTTGCGGCGCTCTTCCAGCTGCTTCTCCCGCAGCAGCCTGGCCTTTTCCTCCTTCTCCAGCCACAGAACCCGCTTGGCAGCTGCAGGAGGAAGCCGGGACAGCGGGGTCACACCCGAGGCACAGCCCTGGCCCCGGCGAGCTCCGCGGTCAGGACATGTGCCCGTGCCGGCAGCGTGGGGCCAAGGGCTGGCTCTGGCCAGGGCACGCGGCTGGGCTCCTTGGGTGCGCGGGGCAGGCGGCATCACGGCCGGCCAGCGAGGGAGGGGTTTGGGCGAGGACAAAAGGGAGGCCGGGAGCCCGCCGAGCTGCGCCGCGCCGATGAACAATGGGGGAATGAGGGTGGAAAGAGCGCGGGGATGAGGAGGCCCCATGCGCGGCGCAGGGGCCCCGCTCGCCCACTGCCCTGAGCTGTCTGCTGCCGCCTGCACACAGGAGAGAGCTGGGCCCTGGGCTGGTGGCGCCCGCACAGACCGGGGGGCACCCATGCACCCGGGGGGCACCCGGACCACGGGGAGCAGCCAGGGGAGTGCAGCAGCAGGGGCCAGCGGCATGCCAGTGCGCAGCGGTGTGCCGGGGCAGGCAGAGCTGCCGGCACGGCAGGGCCTGCCCCGGCTCAGCCCCTCCCCGCC